ATATAAAGTACCTGTGAACTTGTTTTTGATTTTTTTTTTTTGTATAACTTTCTCCTTTTAGGTCTTGCTAGTGTTGTGACTTCCCTGTATCTGTGTCTCTATTACAACGTCATCAATGCATGGAGTTTCTGGTACCTCTTTCATTCATTTCAAGTGAGCTGCTGATTAACAACTAACAATTTGTTCACTGACAGATTCTGTTTGCTGTTGCTCTGCACGGTCACAATAACACAACCACACTGCTCTGTCTCTCCCCACCATGTCCACCAGCCTGTCCTGCCCTGGGCGGAGTGTCCCGTCAACGCCAACCGGACGGCGCCCGTGGAGGAGTGTGAGAGGGCCACGCCCACACAGTACTTCTTCTTCAGGGAGACGCTGGACATTTCTCCCTCTATTGAGGTGAACGGAGGTATTCACACCGGCCAGGCTCTGTGCCTCCTGCTCGCCTGGGTCATCACCTACCTGTTCATCAGCCGGGGGGTGAAGTCGACGGGGAAGGTACCTTCATCATCAAACATCAAATAATAATAACACTACTATACTACAATGATACTATTACACCAGGTGATGAAATCTCACAATGACAACAATAACTTTCTACCCATCCCACTCCCCTGTTGAACTTTGACCCCGGCTGCTGTGTGGCTATCTGTAGGTGGTGTACTTCACAGCCACCTTCCCCTACTTGGTCCTCTTTATCTACCTGATCCGGGGTGTCACTCTGCACGGGGCCATCAATGGTGTCAAATACATGTTCACACCCAAGGTGAGGTCATGTTGTTGTTTTACACACACACACACACACACTTACAGAGCCTAGCTGTTGTTGTTCTGCGTCTTAAAACAGAACAACCTGTTCAGCATGAATTCATTATTATGCCATGTGTGTGTGTGTCTTCAGATGGAGCAGCTCGCCAACCCGACCACGTGGATCAACGCAGCCACGCAGATCTTCTTCTCTCTGGGTCTGGGCTTTGGCTCGCTCATCGCCTTCGCCAGCTACAACGAGTACAACAACAACTTTGAACGCCAGGCCATCGTCGTCTCCCTCATCAACAGCGGCACCTCCATCTTCGCCAGCATCGTCACCTTCTCCATCTACGGCTTCAAGGCCACTGTCAACTACGAGAACTGCCTGGAGAGGTGTGTGTTAATGCTACACTGTGTAAACACTGCACAGATGTGTATGAGCGTATGTTAGTGCATGTTATTTTGTTACCACAGAAGAAGACACAGGAGCGGCAGCAGCAGCAGCAGAGTGATGATATTCTTAACAGCAAACTCGGTTATTTATTTATTGTCCAGTCTATTTATATATGAACACACGTTAGTCCGTGTGCTGTTGTGTCCTTCTGTTCTGTTTTTATTCTCTGGCCTGGTTTCCTCTGGATCCCTGGTTTTATTGACTTCAGTTCCTCTCCTGCGTTTTAGTATTTTATTATTTTATCTTTATCTCAGTGGTGATAAAAGTCACTGAAGGCAGCGGCTGAGGGAAAACACAGATCTGCGTGTGGTTTTTCCTTTTTTCACAGCAGCAGAACGCTGCTTCACTGTGGGGTGTTTGTTTGTCCGTTTGTCTTTAAGGACATGAGTTAATGAGGAAGGTTTTCTTGGTGACGAGGATGAGGAGCGTGTATTGGATTCTGGGAGATAGAAGTCGACCGATCAATCAGTTTGGTTGTTTGATTTACATTTGATAAACTATGGTAATGGGCTCTGACAGTGGCTGATGTGGGGCTACATCATCCTATGGCACCAGACGTCCACATCTGATCTGAGAGCTCTCGATATAACGTTCCTCCTCTTCCTGTCCCAGGGTCCGCATCCTGCTGCTGAACACCTTTGACCTGGCCGAGGACACCATCACCATAGACACCGTCAACGACTGGGTGGTGAAGCTGAACGCCACATACCCGGAGCAGTTCGCCGGGATCGCCTCCAAAATGGACACGTGTAAGCTGGAGGACGAACTGGACACTGTACGTCCCTGCTACAGCAGCACACACTCACAGTTACACACACTGTCTCACACTCATGTGGATGAGGATGAATTCTGAGCCTGAGTTAGGCTTGTTATTCTTGGCTGATGTGACTTTCGGCAGTTTTACCTTTAACAGGTCATGTGACTTTTTCCCAGCTGTTGTATTAACCTTTCAGCTGCTGGATCTGTGTATAAGAAGTGTTCATTGTGACAGACAGTGGTGGCCAGACACTGGAACAAAGGATGTTGTTGTTGAAGCCCATCCAGACAGAGCGTGCTCACTGCAGTGTTTGGTGCAACTTATTTCTTTTGTTTCGTTTGTTTGTCTGATCAGACGCTGTCAGAACGTAGCTGATGTTTTTGTTGGAGAAATGAAAGACTGAATGAATGATATGACTTTGACAGTACTGGGTATCTGTCAGTGTGTGGTATATGCAGTAAAAATGAAAATTTTGGTGTCAAATTATAGAAAATCCCCTGAGATTAGACCAAACCCAGTCACACATACTGTTTGTTTGTTTGTTGTACACTGTGAAAAGACCTTAAATCTTAGTGGAATAACACAAACTCCAACACAAATCTTGGTTCAGTGGGCGGGACACTGTTACGCAGCCAAGAGTGGTGACTTCAGGCAAAGAGGCGCTGCATCCGATCCAAAGGAGTGCGTTTTAAAATAAATTTATGTTATCGATTATCTATCCCTTATTTAAATGATCTTACATTACTGAGTGTTCCTTTACGCAGACGATGTACTATTATTCACACGCATTAATGAAAACTTTATGTTCACATTTTTCAGCCAATCACATAGACACAGGGAATATTTAAGGCACAATATGCATGTTTTTATGTTGTGATAGCTAATGTTAGCATTAGCAGCCTTTCAGGTTCAAAGTCTTTATTCTTCTTTAGTCTCCAGAGATGGAAACAAACACCAATGTTACTTCGTTTTGCTCCTGTATCTGTAATTTGAAACCGGCTGGTTAGCGTGTTAACCTGGTGGGACATATAGGAAAGCACTGACAGTACAGGAAGTGGATACAGGGTCACTCAGGTCACTCAGGGGTCAGAGCCCAGACCAGTCTTCAGTCTCCAGTCATGTGAACAGTGTGTGTTGTCTGTTGCAGGCGGTGGAGGGGACAGGCCTGGCCTTCATCGTCTACAGTGAGGCCATTAAGAACATGCCGTTGTCCCAGCTGTGGTCGGTGCTGTACTTCATCATGCTGCTGCTGCTGGGGGTGGGGAGCATGCTGGGGAACGTCACCGCCATCGTCACCCCCCTGCGAGACTTCAAGATTGTGTCCCGCATCAGCCCCGAGATGTTCAACGGTAAGTAATGTCCAACATTACTGTGACCAATCAGACGATATTTCCACATCTATTTTCTGTTTTGTAAAGGTCTGAGTGTTATGTGTCACCTGCAGGTTTAGTGTGTCTGTTCTGTCTGCTGCTCGGCCTCGGCTTCACCACCCCGTCAGGAAACTACTGGTTCACCATGTTCAACGACTACGGCGCCACGTTCTCGCTGCTCTTCATCGTCCTCATCGAGATCATCACCGTCAGCTACATCTATGGCATCCGGAGGTTCGTTTTGTGTCTGTTGGACTTTCATTCACTTCACAGCTTCGGTGAAAGGTTTAGGTTTTTAACTCGTCGTCTCTTATTCTGACTTGCAGGTTTGAGAAAGACATCGAGGACATGCTCGGGCATCGTCCCAACTGGTACTGGAAGTTCATGTGGGCCGTCACCAGTCCTGTTCTTCTCATCGCCCTCTTCATCTTCTACATCATCAAGTACATCCAGGGGGGGACGCCCACCTACCAGGCCTGGAACAAAGAGCTGGTGAGCTGTGCTTTGTGTCTTCTGCTGCTTGGTGCTGCCTCAGAGGTCACCTGAGCTCACCTGACGTCCCCTGGGCGGAGTCAGCTCAGTCTCTGTGATGCTGTGTTTAGGAGCAGGTACATTAGGTGGAGAAACCAAAGAGGGGAACCCATCTATTCAGGTAGATTCAGGTTATTTCTGTTCTACAGAAACATGACATGATCCAGACTACAGGTCAGATCAGGCCCAGAAACTCCAGCCTTGTTAAGCACTTCAAAACAACCACAGTGGAGCAAAGTGCTGTACAAAAGAACAAATGAAAGATATAACAGCTCACATGAGGCATAAAATTACATGTAAAATACAAAATAAAAACAAATTAAAAGACATTCAACTGTATTTATGGCTAAAACAAATAGTTAGTAACCCCTAAAGGATGGACTTAGATGGAAGGTCAAAGGTCACCCTAAGAATTATTCACTAATTATGACACAATTTAACTCAAATATCCAGTAACATGTAGAAGTGATGACATTTTACAAACAGAAGGTCAAAGTTCAGACTTCATAATGTCCTGTGTGTGTGTGTGTGTGTGTGTGTGATGTGTTATGTGTGAATCAGGTGACCGTGGCGACACTTCCTGCACCTGCTGGTGTCACAGTTATTACATAAATCGAATTATTCTAATTATATAAGAGCAGCAGGTGAACATCTCCACAGGTCTGTCAGTCACTGTGAACATCAGGGCTGATGCTGAAGAGTCTAAACCTTCTGTTGTTACACTTTATTCATTCAAATATAGATTTTAATTTAGTGCATGTTGAAAAAAACATGAGGTGATTGATCCTGTGGTTCTGGTTCAGATTGAACTGATCAGACATGTGGAGGTGGAGGTGAAGGTGGAGGTCTCCATGGCGGGACCAGCTGACGGGGGCTCTGAGTGGCCATGGTCTTAACACCCAAACACAAGGTCACTTATGAGTATCCAACAATGTGAAGAGCCGACAGGGGGCAAAGAGCATTAGGTCAGTGTGAATGTTACACAACAGCTCAGCTCGGTGATCAGACACTGACACACAGCTGCCCCACATTCACTCGTCAGCTACACCTGACGGTGCAACAACAACGACCGCGGTGTGTTAATGAACCACTTTTAGTGGTTTGACTGGAAGGAGGAGTGTGTTGGAGGCTGTATGGTGGCGCGGTGGTGCAGTGGTTAGGACTATGACCTCACAATACGAAGGTTCAGGGTTTGATTCTTTAGCTGTGTCCCATTCAGCGACTGCATCCTTCATTTCTTGTCACAGCGTCGTGATGGGGGCCTGACGCAGTTTGAAGGCTCCTCCAAATCCGGCCTTCTCTTGCCTGTTCTAGGAGGACACTGTGTTTAACTCTATCTCTTGTCTCCTCAGGGAAGACAGAGGTGACGGAGTATCCCGTCTTCGGTCAGGCCTTCATCGGGCTCCTGCTGGTGTCGTCGGTCAGCTGCGTCCCCCTGGCCGCTCTGTACGCCTTCTGCAGAAAGAGGAAACACGGGAAGCCTCAAAAATGGGAGGGAAACATCAACACGGTCTCTGCTTAGCGACGGACGGACAGACGTTAATGTTAACGGTGACGTGGAGCGACGACCGTCAATTCTTCATCTTCTCCAAACGTCCCCGTGGAGCTGACCTCCTTTTTAAAACTCCATCCCAGCGAATGTATTATTCAATCATGTTGTCTCAGTATTAAACTCAGACTTTAATCAACATTAGACCAGTTCCCCCCCCACAGGACCACGTTGTTGTTAGTGTAGATACAGTTTGTTTAGCTGTAACTCAGCTAGTTTACTAAACGTCATAATGTGATGAATGTATGTAGCTATGTAGCTTATGTTTGTTATGTTTCTTATCTTATACTCATATATAAAATGTTGTTTGTCATGTTCGGCCCCTTTTTTGTTTTAGTCCAGTTGGTTTGTAGAGACTCTGAGCCCCAACAGAAGGTGGTCCAGGTCGTCTGCGCCCACGACCACGACCACCAGCAGCAGCAGCATCTGGATTCTTGAGTCAGGACAGTTTACAGAACCAGAACCAAAAACAAAACCCTGCGGAGCTGCAGATGTTGAGACTGATGTTTGAGAACAATAATTATAATGATGATGATGATGATGATAATGATGATGATGATAGTAGGATGTGTGGCGTGCGTTCTCTTTGTAAGAAGGTTGTACAAATTACCTGTTTTTCCTACATATGAAGTATTTTTTGATAACTAGTTTTGTACCTGTTTTAAATGCTGGCGACTGCTCTCAAAGCCTCTGTGAGAGAGTTCATCATCAGGTGTGTGTGTGGTTGTGTGTGCGTGCGTGCATGTGTGTGTGTGAACCAGTAGTGGAGCTACTGAGCCAAATATAAGTGTAATATTTGCTTTGTACACCCTCTAACCTGTAAACTGTAAATACTGTAGATATAAATGTGTTGTCTAATGATCTAACAGTACAAGGAACTAATGTGACCTTTTGTTTTAAATGAAGTGTTAGTTTCTTCCACAGACAATGAACTGCCATTAAAAAAAAATCTTTAACATAAAAACATCTGGTGAGTCGTCATGGTTTCTCTGCACACATCTGGAGAAGAGACGTTTTCTCTTAAAGATACAGATGTTTAATGATGATGATGATTGATCCGACTCATCTGGGCTCCTGTCCTGCTGCTTTGTGCCCACCTGATGTCCAAAGACATAGTCCAGAGTAGGTCAAAGGTTGTGGACCAGGAGAACAGCTGAAGGAACATCAGAGTGTTTCACTGACTCTAGCGAAAGTCCTCAGTGTCTGGGTTTGACCTGTGGTAACCCCTCCCCCCCCTCCCGAGCTGCTCTCTCTCTTCCTGCTGATCGAGGATAATCTGAAGTGGCATTTTAAGCTTCTTGTTGTTGTTGTCGTTGTTGTTGTTGTTGTTTCTTCATCATCTGACCAACATCACAGCAAAAACTCCACAGAAACAAAGAGGACGAGAAATAACAGCTCTGTGATTTAAACACTGCTCTGACACACCTGGAGTCAACAGGCAGAGTTCACCACTGTCCACTAATGGTGAGGAGTGACTGACAGCTGCGTCAGACCAAACCCTGGTTACTGTAAAGCATGGAAATATATGTACTAGGGGTGTAACTATATTTGTATTCGTCCCGCGCCGTAACGGTACGTGTGGTTTGGTGCACACAAGTCAAGTCGTGTCCTTGCTCCAATCCAGTTCATATCAGATGGCCTTGCTATAAAACAGCTATAAAATTATTAAAAGTGCACATTAGAGCTGTATAAAGCTAAATATGGAGCTAACAGATTATAAATGACCAAAGACAATGAAATTGATCAGCTAATTGATCAGATGATGTGGGATTTGGCTGATTACAGTGGAACAAGATATCCTGTACTTATTTTTATCATTCGTAACAGCTGAGTGAAGTTGATAGGGACAAGACGATAAAAAGTCTGATGCATGGCGCCATTTAGCTTGGTGGGTATGGAGCAGTCATTCCCCCTCTCACTGCCTCCCCATTTCCTGTCTTTCTGAGGTCTGAGGCTGTGTCTGAAATAACTCATGACTGCTACTCAGTTTGCATTTTGTAGCGCTCTGTGAATATACAATAACGATTACTATACCCTACATAGTATTATTATTACATCATACATATAGCTATAACTAGACAGACAGCAGCATAAGAGCTATAACCTCTCATTAAAAAGTCACATTGACAAAATACCATCACCGTGAACACAATGGTCTCAACAAAGACAATATATATATATATATGGGTATCGACTGTTCACTGTTAAGTTGGATAAAGACTGTTTTTGATGGAAACTTATGAGTATCAACTGCCAGGTTTCTGACCATTATTTTCAGATATATAAGTGTCTCTATTTTGTCCTCAGTCAGCTTTAAAAAGTCAACACTAATCCACTTGTTTCTGGAAGCCAGTCAGGTGATCATGGACTCCGGGTTCGTTTGCTCAGTAGAGATGAATAGTTGTGTATCGTCTGCATAGCGGCTGATGTCATGTTACCCAGGTCTTACAGCAGGTGAACCAGACAACTACATTGGACTACACTAAAGGGTAAGTGATGTTTTCCAGATACACAACTCTATAGACTAACAAATCATTTCTCTACCAGCAATGTGACCGTCCAAATATCATCCACATAAAATACTTTTGCTGTAATATGATTTTTTTTAACGCTCGATTTTAAGACACGAAGTTCACAAAGATATGAATGAACATGGTTGTGTGAAGGATTCTCAACTTTTGAAGGCTTTCGTTTCTCCAACACTGAGTGACAGCAGAGAAATGTTATTTATACACTACATTGTTATTTGGACTGTTAGTGTTTTATTGTTATATTGTCAGAGTTCCCATTATAAAACAGTAAATGAAGGAAAGTCTTTTGTTGTTACTCTCAGATCAAGGCTGTTCAAAGTACCACCATCATTACTGAGTCTAATCTGAGCATAACCAGAACTATTCATCATCTCATATCTAATATAACCTGATAAAATCTGAGATTGACTGCAGTAGAAAAAAACTGACTCAGTCATGTTAAGGATTTTTATTCATTTATTCGTATTCTTTAGTTAGTTTCATTTTACTGGCTTTGGTTGCTTTAGTCAAGCTGCAGAGTTCTGTACGAGTCCACTTTCTCTGTCGACCACCTTGGAGGATCAGCAGTCTTGAACGTGCTAGTGATAAATTGAAGTAGCTTCTCATGCTGCATCATGTTGTGTTAAAAATAGTAATTCTTTGCTAACATCTCTCAGGCTGAAGAAAGTCCGGGTCACTTTGCTAATGTGGGATTTAAAACTTTTGACATGTGCTTCAGTCTGATTGGTTCCAGAGTTTACTAAGAGGCCTGTTTCTCAATAACTTCCCAATATAAGTGTCTCCATTTTTGAGACATTTCAGATGCACAATCCCTTAGACTAACAAAAAACAAAACGCTATTTAGGTCCAAATGAAAAAACTACTTTTGCTGTAGAATATAAATCATGCTTTGTTCTACTACTGGGTGGAAGTATATCAACTTTTGAAGGCTTTATGTCTTCTACTGTATCACAATGAGTCCAACACTGAGAGACAGAGATGAGAAAGGTCTGCATGAAGGTTTGAAACTGCGGCATGTCAAAGCACACAGAAGATACACAATCCCTAAATATCTCTACCACTGATGTGTCCGACTCTCGTCACAGCAGATCAAACACGTGATACAGCAGTTTTACGTCTTGATCTTCTGCCATAAACACTACCAGGCTTTTTATTGACACTGCATGTCAAAGCTATCAGTCCAACAGTGTTGGAGTCACTCAGCTTTATGGTGGTGTAAATCAAGAACAACTTCATAAAGTCACAGCATCACAGGAGCATGTTTGTGCCTTTGAGCTCTTTTACTACAAATAATCCCTGATCACATCACGGTACAACCCGACACCACAATCCTCTGATCCTGAGGCCGGACTCGGCTGCATTGTTCCTGTTTCCTGGTCGCTGATTGAACAGCTTGCCAATAACATCTACAGTAGATTGTGATGTAATGATATATTCATGTAAACAAGGCAATAATATGTGATGTTTCCCGGTTAGTCTGCTGCCCCCAAGTGGCAGCAGGAGGAAGTAAACTCAGCAGCTGTGTGCAGAAAAGAAGAGGCAGGTCACCACGGTGATCGTCCGCCCTGTTTATCACTGCAGCTGCTGAAAGAGGAGGCATGTCATGGGCAGAAGACCACCAGGTAACGAGGAAATCACTCATATGATTACACAACAGCTTTTTACATTCGGAGTTCAGCAGAGGTCAGTAAATTATTACATGCGGTGAGATGCCTCCTCGGTAAACAGTACAGCAGCAGCTCGGCCTGATGGGTACAGGCTCAGCGAGTGACCATGTGAAAGAAGAAGACATTTATCAACGACATTTATTGTCACAACTTTTTTAAAATTTAATGTCTGGTTGAGATCAGAGATAAAAATGTCAAATAATATTTAGCTGTTTTTTTTTGTGATTGTGTTAAATCAGCAGAAGATATTGTCTCATATTGATCACTGATCCAATTGAATTGAAGTTGTATTAAAATCAATACAGTGTAAAGTACTGTGATGAATGAAGAGTGTTCATTTAGCAGCCAGTCTGTGTTTTATTTATACATTTTATTTCAGTGTAATTAATATCTAAACGTCCAGACTGGTTCATATCATTAAGGCTTTATGAAGTCGGGTCAGACCTGGTTCTGGTCTGACAGGTC